AACATACTGTATGCCTCTTTCACAACACCTCCTATTCTTTGGTACATGCCATATATAGACTCACAGGCATTGACCAGAATTCCTACTTTTGGTAACTATAAATTTTAGCAATGGATGGGCGAGGTGGCTTGTGCCTGTAATCCTAGTACTCTGGGAGGCTGAGGCAGGAGGATTGCTTGAGCTCAGGAATTTGAGCCCACCCTGAGAAAGAACAAGACTCCATCTCCACAAAAAGTAGAAAAATTAGCCGGGCATGGTGGCAAGCACCTGTAGTCCCAGCTACTCGGAAGCTGAGGCAGGAGGATCACTTGAGCCCAGGAATTTGAGGTTATAGAGAGCTATGATCACACCACTGCACTGTAGCCGGGGCAACAGGGTGAGACTCTGTCTCAAAAAAAAAAGAAAATTGTAGAAAAAATCTAAGAAGCAGGAAATTTTGAATTGTCTGTTATAAGCATCTACTTTATATTTCTCTAATTTATTATTTTAGTAGTTTACTTAGATCTTAGTTATTTTATTTTTTGGTAACCATTTTTATAGTCTGTGAATATTAGATGTTCACCTCAGTAAGGCCCTTAAACACATGGGTAATTTTTTTTGCCAATAACTCAGAGGACTTAGCTATTTTTATTAAACCATCAATATTAAATTAGTCTTATTTATCAAAAATTTTTGAAATTTACATGAACTTGAAAATAATTTAGACTTCGTTACTTAATTTACATATAATACATGTACATATACACAAACACATTTAAACATACATACATATACACACACAAAGATCTAATATTTTTTTCTACCTCCAAATTCCAGCTGTGATATAACACCACAAATTCACCAGTCTGCAAAAGGTGGCGGAAATCCTGTGCTGGAGACTGACGGAGCCCCCTCAGCGTTGGGGGATTGAGGAGGCTCCAGGTTGGAGCACAGGCCTCTGGTGGGGGCTGGAAGGGGATCTAGAATGTCTGGCACAGTTTCTCAGTGCCTGGGACAGAGGGCCATAAAAACCTGTACATAAGGAATTTCTACCCATTTTCCTTCCTTTTTATAGAATAAGTCCAATCATAAAATTGTATTATAGTTTAAAGAACCATTTCCAAGCCAGATTTCCTGGTCTCCACGTAGGTTTTGGGGCCAGGCAGTATTGCAATAGAAGATAAGCTTCTTTCTTTTTAGACCTTCTAAATTAAATGTATCCCAGTTGTTGAGGAGGCATCCTAGTGGGGAATCCTTTGGGATGCTTGTTGCCCCCATTTCTGAACACGATTTCTGTTGGACACGGGGGCTTCCCTAAGCCTGGCAAAGAACTGATTATCTTGTCTCTCAGATTCCCACCTCCCCTTTTCCTCTAAGAAAGTCAGCAAGGCAATAGTCACCAAACCTTGCAAGGTCAAGGTGAGCGTAGTTCGAGAAAGCACCGAGGCCAGAGGGTAAAAAATAGATCTGTGCAGAAGAACGGAGGCTGTGTCCTCCAGGATAAGGAACACAGCAAAACAAATGTTGCAACACACAAATTACAGAATTAGGGATAAAAGTAGGTGTCCCTAAGGGGTCTGTTTCAGCACTTTAACTTGGGGCCACTGAAACACTATGGCTCTGGCATCCTAGAGTCACCACAATAGGGGATCTCTATTTAACAAAAAGAAAAGAATTTCAAAATGACCTGTTTTACAAAGAATGGAAACAATCACCCACATAGCTAAAGCAAAAAGTATAAGTGCAGCTAATGAAATAATGACAGACATTCATTTATGCACTAAGACCAAAACAGGTCTGTGAGTGACAGTCCAAAACACAGAAGAAATGGAAGAAGAAAGACAGAAGGAGACAGTGAATTGTTGCACTCCTGCTCAGTTGGACCCCCAAGGCCGGAGTCACCCGGTATTCATCAACTACGTCACTCTGCATGACCTGGAGATTACAGCTCCCGCCACGCCATTACTGTTACCTGGGGAACTGTAGTCAGATAGATGGAGTAAGTTTATGTCCTTTAATTCAAAAGAATGTCTCGGCTGGGCGCGGAGGCTCACGCCTGTAATCCTAGCTCTCTGGGAGGTCAATCACTTGAGCAACAGTGAGACCCTCTCTCTACTAAAAAGAAAAAGAAAAAAAAAATACACAAAACAGAAAGCAACTCTTGAGAATAGAGTCAGAAAGAGAGATGGAATGAAAGGATCTGACGCTTTAGAAGACAAGAAGACAGAAAAGAAAGCAAACTAGACAAAGGGAGACTTATCCGTCCCTCAGGTTCCGGATACTGCCATGGTCTTAATTTGGGGTCTGCGTGGGGGTGTCCAGTCATCCCATCTGGGTTGCCACAAAGATTACACAGGAAAGTGACTCCCAATGCTGGGAATCACCTGAAGTCCAAGTGGGTCCTTGGCTTTGCTCAAGAAAGAATTCCTGAGCAAGCCAACAGTATAAAGTGAGTGTGAGTTTTATTCAAAAACTATAGAAAGTCACAGACAGAGCAGAGGCTAGAGCTCCCTGTGGAGAACTGGCCCTGCGTTCCTTTAGCCCCTCTATTTAAGCAATGGCTCAATTATGCTGTAAGCAAGGAGAGGGATATTCACGGCGTTTCCCTAGAATTAGAGTGATGCCCTCCTTTTGACGAGGGAAGCCTAGTGGTGTCAATTGCAGGATGGGAGTGGGCGGTGCCCTAGACACTGTCATGGTAACAAGGTGTATAATGAAGCTGCAAGGTGGAGAGGGGGTCAGTTTCTCCACCATCTTGGTTCTAACTGGCTGGAACTTGTCCTACCTCCATTTTGTTTTGATCAGGGTAGTTTGAAACTTTGTTTTGAGACTTCCTGACTCAGTTAAACAATGCACAATTAAGCAATGCCTAAAGCAGTGCCCAAAGCAGAGCCTGCCAGTTCCTTGTCTCTGTTACAGCCTCCTCCTCTCTCCCTTGGGACCCCGAAGGCAGCACTTTTAGTCTACAGGGGTCAGAGTAGCTGGTGATTCTCACCCTCTGCTGGGAGACAGAGACCTGGTAGGCTGGCGCTCTCACCCTCGTTGTAACTTGTGTAAATTATCCCCACCCCAGCTCCATTGGGCCACCCCCTCCCTGGATTCCCACAAACCTCAGCCTGCCCAAACGTCTGGCACAAGGGCTAAATGAGGTGCCTGGTACACAGTCAGGGCCCTGCAGCCCCAACAATAACAGGTAACAACAGTAGCACCAATATCGACAGGGGCGTGGGTGTGGGAGGCAGGGTTGTGGCCCAGTCTTCTGGCCTTGCCCCCACCCCACTGTCCCATAGAAGGCTCTTCCTTGTCCTGGCTCCTCTCCAAGCTCCTGGCTCCCCCCACCATACACCCACACCCACACCCACACCCCACACCCCACACCCACTTCTCCTTTGCAGCTGCTCACCGCCTACACCTTCCTGCCATGGAGTCGCTGGCCCGTGGGCAGGGGATGGAGAGGCAGTGGGCCAGGGCCACTCAGAGCTGGCCCACTGGGGTTCTACGGGAGTCCTCAGCTCTTTCAAGCCAGACACCTGGGAAACAGCCTCCCTCCCTTCACTCCATGGCTAGCTACTGCGTCGTGTCCTGCCTGGCCCATAGTGCCGGCCACCCTGCCACTCTGGTCACCCCATCCAGTCTCCAGCTCTGTAGCAGCCAGAGGGCATCTCCCCTACTCAAATACCTCTTCCCTGCGGCCTCACTCCTCTGTGGCCTGGCTGCTCCCTCCGCCTGCTCAGCATCCCCTGAGGCAGTGGCCATGTCTGTCCCCAGAGCATGCTCCCCGTGCCCCCTTCACTTCTCCAAGCCTTCGCCCATGCCATTCCCTCTGCCTAGAGTGTTTCCCACTCCCTCGCAGCTGCCGAGATCTACTCACGCTGCCCCCAAGCTCCCTCCTGGCCCCTGGACAGTTGCTCCTTCCTCAGTGCTCTGTGCTCCCCTAGCCCTGAGTGCTTAGGGGTCTGTAAGTCCCACCAGCAGGCCCGTAACCCTGAGCTCCTGCCGAGCTGTGGCTCCCTGAGGGCCTCTCCAGCCCTTGCCCCTGGGGAGGAAGCAGCACGTGCTGGGGAAGGCCAGGGAGCCTGTGTGTGTGTGAGTGAGTCTGAGAGACTGTGGGAGAGGCAGATGGGGGAACCAGACCCTGGGGAGGACAAACACACAGGGGACCTCAGTGAGACACAGAGGTGAGCTGGCCAGGACACACATAGCCCTGGAGAAAAAGAGTTGAAGTGGGCAGGACTCCCTCCATTCCAGCCATAGTTTCCTAATATGCAGATCTTACTGACACTCCCTGCTCAAAGCCCTGCGTGGCTCCCTAGCATCCTCCAGCCCAGAATCCAAGCTCCCTGATGCTCCGGTTAAGGCCCCAGCCTGGCCCTCTGGCCCCAGCACTCCCTGGACTTCCTGTTTGAGCCTTCAAGCCTTTGCTCACACTCCACCCTCCCTCCACCTGGCAAACACCTCTCACCATCCAGGATGACCTGTGCTGGTCCCTACCGTGAGGCATTGTCCTGTGGGACTCCCTCTGGGTGGACCCTCTGGGCCTGGTACAAAGTGGTCACTCAGAAGTGTTTGATGTCCTCAGCCAGCTCTGCCTGGGAAGAGCAGGAGGACTCCCCAGAGGAGGAGGCAGGTGGGCTTGGAGGGAGATGGTGGTGGGAGCATCAGGGCCACAGTCTGCCTCTGTGAGGCTGAGCAGGGGAGGCCACCCAGAGGTCTATGTCCTGACTGCAGGGACCCATCCTCTTTGTGGCCCAAGAGCAGGCTCTAGTCTGACCCCAGCCCAGCCTAGGGCCCACACACCTGGCGTCTGGGGGTCATGGTTGAGTGGCTGAATGGAGGAACCACAGGGAGAAAGAGAAGAGGTCTGGGGTTCAAGGCCCTAGGCCTGGCTGAGAGTGGTCCCACCCCAGCGGTCCCACCCCGCGGGGCGGGGCGGAGTGCGCGGCCCCTCCCGGTTTCCTCCCCGAGGGCAGCGGAGCCCAGCCCTGAGCTCAGTCCCCGCGGAGTGAGACGGCAGCAGCACCATGAGGCGAGGGGCCAGGAGGCCGAGGGGCAGGGACGGGCCCCCCCCTACGCCCTGCGACCCGGCCCAGTGCTTCGACCTGCTGGTCCGCCACTGCGTGGCCTGCAAGCTCCTCCGCACGCCCGAGCCGAGACCGGGTAAGAGCAACCCGCGCTGACGCGTGGCCTCGGGCAGCCCTCGGGGAGGACGGGGGTCCTGCCACGGGGCCCCCAGCCCGCCGAAGCCGCAGGCAGAGCCCGCGCCGCCCAAGACCCAGCGGGTCGATGGGGACCTGCGGGCAGGGCCTGGACGGGGGCCCTCACCGCCGCCTCTGCTCTCTCCCCTGCTTGTCCACCTCTCCCGCTGTCCCTCCCCTCCCAGCCTCGCCTCCCTCCGCCCCACCCCGTCCCCGCGCGTCCTTCCCCGCGGCCCCGCGCCCTCCCTCCCTGTCCCCGCCTCCCGCAGCAGGGGCGAGCAGCGCGGCGCCCGGGACGGCGCTGCAGCCGCAGGAGTCGGTGGGCGCGGGCGCTGGCCCCGAGGCGGCGCTGCCCCTGCCCGGGCTGCTCTTCGGCGCCCCCGCGCTGCTGGGCCTGGTGCTGGCGCTGGCCCTGGCCCTGTTGGGCCTCATGAGCTGGAGGCGCAGGCGGCTTCGCGGGACGGCCTCCCCGGAGGGCCCAGATGGAGGCCAGCACGGTGAGTTCCATCTAGGGAACCAAGGGGCACTGTCGGAGGCGCGGGGTCACACGGCCTGAGGGTGGGGCCGACTAGGGGAGACATGGCCCCTGGGGGTGGGGTGTCTGAACCGAGAGACTGGGCTGTGTGGACTGCGGGTAGGAGAGAGTTTGCCCTGAAGAGCTCAGGCTGAGCAGGGAGATGCCCCGAGCCTAAGTGAGGGACACAGCACTGCCCTCCCAGACCCCAGGCGGAGGAAGGACAGCACTGGGGAGTCCCATCTGAGGGAGGAGTCTGTCCTGCACTTTGGGAGTCTGAGGGAGCTTGTCCCAGAGTAAATCCCTGTGGGATGGCCAGGCTGGGCCCCACCTCCTACCCCTCGGGCTGTACTTCCAGTCTTACCCCTGCCCTGTGCCATTCCTCCCTCCCACAGTGGGGTCCCATTGCAAGTGGCTGCCCCCTCTGGGGCGGCTTCTAAAACAGGCAGTTGAGGAAGATTGCGGCCCAATACTGACCTTCCCTCCCCAACCTGCTGCCCCAGAGCCCCTGGACAGTGTCATCATCCTGTCCCCGGGAACCCTCGATGCCACAGCTCCTGTCTGGCCTCCACCCAGGGAAGAAGACCCAGGCACCACCCCACCCGGCCATAGCGTACCTGTGCCAGCCACAGAGCTGGGCTCCACTGAACTGGTGACCACCAAGACTGCCGGCCCTGAGCAACAATAGCAATAGAGGGGGCAGGAGATGGTCCCTGCCCTCCTCTGGACCGCCAGCCAGGGGCTTGGATGTTGAATTTGGCTCTTCCCTCCAGCACCCAACTGCCCTGTTTCGGGGAGTCAGGCTGTGCCCAGCTAAACTCTGCAGCACCACGGACACTACAGACCACAGCATTCAGCCGGCATGGAGTCGCTTGGTGGTGTTAGTTTTTGGCTTAAGACTATACCACCTTTGACAGCCCTTGAAGGTTGTATCTGAGCTTCTGTGCTTTTGAATGACTGGGGCACTATGAGTAAGATATTTTTCTTTTAACATGGGGAAGGCACCATTAAGCCAAAATGAATCTGCAAAAAAGACCAAGTGGGAGGACGCTTAATTTGTACCTGGGTATTGTATTTCTTTAATACTTGCTCTCAGAGCTGTCCTGCTGTTAAACCTGTGCACATGGCAGCAATGAGTAACCAGTTCATGGGTTTGCTTGCTTTGGGATTCAGTACAAGATTATTTTAAGAAATAACCGAGGAGAGAAAAAGGATTGTGCTGGGTTGTACTGATTCTTAGGTATCTGTATCCCAGGGGCAACCCTGAGATTGGCCCAATCTGCTGCAACTTAAGATGCCATTTTGACCTCAGCGCCAGCTTCCAGAGCCACAGGTCTGCACTTGGGAGGGAGTCTACAGCCTCTGGGGCTGAATTCCAAACTTAAGCTAAAGGAACACCCTGGCAGGCAGCTCTCTCAGGGACCACCCAGGGTCCTGGCTGCTTCTGAGGCACAGCACACTCAGCCGTACACAGGGCAGGGACAGGACCTACAGGAGGCTCCTTCATGCAGAGGCTAGGGCAAGCCTGTGGCCTTGAATCAGATGGATCCGAGGTCCCTTGAATTTTCTTCTCTCTATGGCCAGCCTTCCTGAAGCACTGGACCCCAAATGCTGGGCTCACTTGGCCATTCTGTGCCAGCCCTTAGGGTCACCCACCATCCCAGTGGAAGCTGCTCTTCTCACAGAGGTGCTCCTTGTTCTGGGATCTGGAGCCAAGACTGTCTGTTCCCAGTCCTGGACCACACTGTGCACTCAGTCAACCATTGCCTCCTGCCTATCCTCCCACACGCGGTCAGAACCTCCTGACCTGGACTCTGCCCTGGACAGCTTCCTTGGAGCTTATCATAGTTTAGTGCCTTTGGAAGGAGCACCGGACTAGGAGTCAGAAGATGGGATTCTTGGTACTGTTTTTCCCATGTTGGGCCTTGGCCGTGTTCTGTTCCATGCATCAGATGTTTCTGCCTACATCTCCATGAATTGCCACCAGAACTGTCTAGCAGACCCCTGCCCTTGCTGCCTACTCCTTTCCCAGTTCAGAAGACAATGGCATCCCCAGAACCGGGACACTCACATCCCGGTCTCTGCCCAGCTATTGCTCCTTGAACTCATCTCAGATGCCCCTATCCTCAGGGAGCCAGGAGACCGGGGTGAGGTCAGGTGGCAAGCACTAGGCAGGGGTGAGGGTTAGGCGCAGATGGGCCCAGCCATCCACACCTTCATCTGGGATGGGGAAGTCTGAGTTGTTCCTGGCCACCCCACCTCCCACCCCACCTTCTCTACTCCAGCCAGGGATTAGGCCCTGAAGGTGAAAAGGGTGGGTGAAACCCCTTTGGGGCCCAGACATGCAAACCTTTGGCACCGGTCTGTCCCAGCTGGCCTCTCCGGCTGGTACGCAGTTTCCCCTCTGATCTCAGTTTCTTCTGAAAAATAGGGGGTTGGATGCAAAGTTCTCCTGCCCTGTGGCCCCCAGAGAAGAAGGACTGGAAGAAACCTTAGAGAGTTCTCACAGATATACACATTTCACAGATGAGGAAACAGGCCCAGAACGGGAGAGGACTTGCTATCACTGTCATCTAGCAAATAACAGATGGGAAGTTCCTTGGGGGAGAACCAGGATGGACCAGTGGACGGCAGGCAAGGAGGGGTGTGGTGTCTCCCTTCCCCTGGAAAAGGGCCCCGAGGCCCAGGTAATAAGAGAACAGTGTTCTGTCCTCTGTCCTAGGTGTTACTTTCAAAGGAGCCTTCACTTTCGATACCTCGTTGGTCTTCATAGCACGGGGAGGATGCGGGGCGGGAGGGGGGTGGTGTTTGTGTTTGATTAAAAACTTTTTTTATTAAAAAAATCAAGATAGGTGTTTTGTAAACAATCTGGGAAGTTCAGGACAGTAATCCACGGTGGCGTCATGCAGAAATGACCCATAGCCAGCAGCACCAGCCCCCTGCGTGGTGTTGCATTTTTCTACGTAATTGTAACCATTCTGTACAGGCAAAGTCATATCTTGACCATTGTATTTAGTAAGTTTTTCTCTCTCTGAACACTGCACAATGAGGTTTTCAATATTGGTAAAGTTTTCCACTTGAGCATTTGGTTATTTTCGGTTTTTGCTGCTGTGACTGAGGCTCTTTGCATGCGACTCTGTTCCCCAGGAGGGTGCTTGCACCAAAGGCCTTGACCTTTTTAAAGGCGCCCTTTGGTCCAATAGCTTTCCTGAAAATCTGCACCATGTCACATCCGTGAGCAGTGATGATATGGTCCAGTTTCCGGATAGGAAAAGAGCGGTTCAGCAGGTGAAGGGATCTGGCCCACGGCACAACAGGCAGTGGTGGAGCGGGGCTGGACCCGGGTTCCAGCCCTTGCTGGGTGTGCCTGCCCAGCAGAAGGTCATTGGCCCAGGCTCCCTCCGGGGGAGTGGCCTACGCCAGGGATCGAGGCCAGGCCCCGCCTCTTGGTTTTATCGCTACTCGAAAGATTTTTCTCCCCAACTGATCTCTTTTTGCAGTAAAGGGGATCTCAGATAGACTCTGGAAGGACAGCTTGTTGGGGTGGGAACTGGCCTAGCCTGTGTTTCTGGCCAGTTTTTCCTGAAGGAGGGTATGGTTTCCACCAAGTCCCCAGGGTCCCCGGCAGGTGGGGGCGGGGCTGGCTGAAGTCTCGGTTCCTCCTGGGGCTTCCTGCGGCCCCTTTCACTTCCTGCCTGGCAGTCCCAGGCGGAGGGCTCAGGGTGGGGGTGGGGATGTCCAGCTGGTGAGGCCCGGGAGGAAGGCCTGACCCTCACCTCCCTCTATCACAGCAGGGATGGCCCCACACAGCACTATTCCCTAGAAGCTGGTGACATCGCCCTGGGCCTCTCTTTCCACATGCAAAATGGGGCTCTTGGGGGCCACCCAGCTGTCCTTCGAGTTAAAAGAGGTCATGCGGCATGTAGGGACAGAGCGATCCCTGCCAGGGCCAGGGAATACCCGGGGCAGGGAGGCGGGAACAGGCCTGGTCCTGACCCGCGGATGGGGGTGCGGTAGGGACAACTGCCCAGAATCATGCGGAGAGTCGGGGAGGAGCCGGGAGGAAGCAGATGCCCGTGTTCCCGGCCCATGCGCCTTTCTCCTGGACTCTGCGGGGCGCCGCAGCTGTGGTGGCGGGGTGGGGAGGATACAAGGGTCCCGGGACCCCTGAGCATCTCCTCTCCTCTGCAGAGAATTTGTGGTCCAGCCCTGAATCCAGGACGGTCCAGCGGCTCTGGGGAAGGCGAAAGTCTATATGCGCGGCTCCTGCGGTCGGCTCGGCTGGTGGCACGTCGACCGCCAGCCGCGGGGTGGCGGAGGGTATTCCGGGACGTAGAGGGTGGGGCCAGGGCGAGCGGCGCGGCGGAGGGACCGGTCAAGGAGAGAGGTTGCAGGAAAGGGGCGGGGCCGGAGGCAAGTCGAAGGGGTGGGGCCAGGCCAAGGGGCGAGGAAAAAGGGAGGGACCGGGTGCGGGGCGGGACCAAGGCCAAGGGTGCCCACTCCTAGCTCCGGACCTCTGCGTCCGCGCGGAGTCCCAGTCCTCACGCGAATCCCGAGGCCCGAGGCCCAAGCCAAGAGGGGCCCGGATGTGGGCCATCGACCAGCCTTTAGGGCGAGGTGTAGGGCGGGGGCTCTGCGTTTCGCTGACCTCAGAGTCGTGCCCCAGGAGCAGGCGGGCTGGCCGGGGAGGGTGGACCTGCCGGGTGGACGCGCCGTGTGGCCTCCGCGGAGCCCTGTCCTGTGTTCCCGCGCTACGGTCTTGGTGGCTAGCTCCGGGTTTGCACGTTCTCTGGGGTCTTTGGCGGGTCCTGCAGTGGGAGATTTATGGGGGGGGCGTCAGGCAGAGCGTCTGGAGTACCTGTGGTGTTTGGAGTGGGGTTCCCGGAGGCCCGTCAGGCTGCGGGCCGGGAAGGGGGTGCATAGGGGTTGGGACCGGGAACTGAGCCCCAGCTCCTAGACCCCCAGTCCCGCCGCGCCCTCGAGACCTCGGAAGCCCGGGCGCCCCCTCCCTCCCACCGGCAGCTGGAGCCTGAGTCACCGAGCTGCCTCTCAGGAGACAAAGGCAGCCATGGGCCCTCCTTCCAGACCCCTCCTGGTACCCGCATTTGTACTAGCAGGGAGTCCAGCGCCCTGAGAATCTCTGTTCTTGGGTAACTCCCCGTCACGGAGGAAATGGAAGTGAAATGAGCTTAGGAATGAGGCCTTTGAAGCTTGTGGATGGCATCCGCCACCGTCACAATCACCATCCTTTCAGCCCGGCCGCAGTGGATGCAGTGTCCTCCCACCGGGACGCATGCACCTCGGTGTCTCCCGTCAAGAGCCCACTGGCTCCTCCCTGCCGCCCTTCCAGAGAGATGCCGGAAACGCATCTTGCAGATGAGAAAACTGAGGCCTAGAAAGGTTGACTGGGGAGCAGGAATTCCAGCCTGGTCAGTCTGGCTCCAAAGTGAAGGATAAATGGAAGCTTTCTGCTGAGGGGCTGGAAAGGCAGGAGTCGGGGTGTGCCCTGTCAGCCGGTAGGGGGCGCTTCCCTGAGCTCTGGGCGGTGCCCTCCAGCTGCTCTCTCGGTGAGTACTGAACTGGCCAGAAAGTAGGTCTGGGGCTGACCGCGCAGGTTCCAGGCCAGACCCTGCCCTTCCTGGCTATGTGCCAGTCACAGCAAATCATTTCCCCTCTCTGGGTCTTGAGTTTCTAGGAAAACCCAAACCCTCTCCCCCAGACAGGGTAGGGCTGGGCAGAGCTGGCAGACTGGACACCCACCACCTAAAATGGGGACACAGGCCCAGCGCAGGCTTTCCTTAATGTCCACCACCTCTCACGACCCCCAGCCTTCCACAGCTAGGCCTGAGCACCAGGCGAGGGCTTGACACTGAGGGAAGGACTTGTGTGCAAGGTGCACCTACCCTGACACACGTGTGTGCACGCTTGCCCACGGTGCAGGGAAGGCCCTCATAGTCACACAATAGCCCCAGACATGCGCCTCCCATCTGGAGCACACGCAGACACCCGCACGCTCGAGCTGCCAGCGGGGAGTGGGGGAGGGGGGCGGGTGCCCTTCAGGCACAGGGACTCAGCTTGCTGCAGATGCCAGGGGTTATTTTAAGCCTGGATCAATGGATGATTTTTGGTGACACAGGCTTGGGGGGCGGGAAGAAGAGATAAGAGGTGGGTGTCCCGGAGCCTCGCTGTGGTGAGCGGCCCTGGGATCCAGGCAAAGGAGTCAGTCCTCAGCTGGGCTGCACCATCCCTAGATCCCCTGGCCCAACACATGGCCAGGCATCTGGGGGGCAGGTCAGCTCAATGGATGGTCAGATCCAGGACTGGCCAGGCAGCCCTGCAAAGAGCCCAGTCTTTGCAGTTGCCCTCTCCTGCTCCCTGCCCCCCAAGGCCAGGGGTTCCCATGGAGAGGGCAATGAGCGCCTGGCACAGACCCGGTAGATGTGGGTGCCTTGGGTTGCTGGCTGACCACTGAATCAGACTGGGTTGCGGAGGAAGCCCTGTGTGTGTGGCAGGGGGATTGGGGGTTGGACATCAGCCCTGGGAGTGGGGCAGGGGCTGGAATTCGGCTCCTTCACTGGACAAATGGCCATCACTAGGGACATATATTTGCAGGACCTGATGGGAGTCAACATGGGGTCTAAGTTGAGTAGAGTGACCAGTGCCAAGACAGTGGGGGCAAGAAGGGGCCCAGAAGGGGCTGTAACCCAGGGGAGAGCATCGAAGGGACCCTACCAAGAATGAGGCCACATTTCCAAGGGGGCAGAGACAAGCGTCCGAAATGGGTGTGAAAGGTGAGGAGGAGCGGCCACCCTCAGGGCCCTGCAACCTGGAAGGCAGCTTGTCAGCGGGTGGCTGCCACTGATTCCGTTTCTAGGAGTGCCCCCAAGGAAGTAGAGAAGGACGCTCCGGAAAGGATAGCTGCCAGTTTCTGAGAATGACAAACTAAAAGTTTAAGGGCAGCAAAAAGTAAACTAAAAACCAGTTACAAAACGGCATGCAAAGTGTGACACAGTTTAGTGTGGTTGGCTCTGGGGATGGGATTAAAGCAGTTTCATTTAATTCCTTTGCTCCTCTGGTTTTTTCTTCTAGAGTTGTAACAAGCCGTCTTGTGATGGGGGAAGGGAGGGTCTTCTGGGCTGCATGGGAAGCGAGTGAGTGTGGGGGGGCAGGATGTCTTTGGCCAGGGCACAAGGAGACACTCTGAGGGGGAGGGCATTGTTGGGAGGTCACCCCCTCCTCCTGTCTTAGCCCCCTAATACCTGAAATTGGCCTGTCCACCCCTCACGTCGGAACAGAACTTGATCCTCCTTAAAATGTAAATCCTTCCTCTTTCTCCCTCGCCTCCTGCACTTGTATAAGCTGATCCCAGCCGCTGAGTGACGGGAAGGAGGGGGACAAGAAGGGGAGCAGGAAGGACCCTAGGGAGCTCCAGTTCTTCCCCCGACAGAAATGAGAGACTAGAGGCGTTTCCTCCCTCCCTCCCTTCCAGTACTGAGGGAGGCTTGAGCTGTGCCGGGTGAATTGGACGCCAGTTCTTTCCCTCCTGGTGTTCCCGTCTGGACATTGGAGGTTCCACACTGACCACTGCCTCCTGGAGGGGGCGGATTAAGAATCTGCCCTCCAGAAAAAGTTTTGATGTTAAAATGAGAAACTGAGGCAAGAAGCCGCGGCACCGTCACGTTCTCTAATTAAACTCAGCTCCGAAAACATGACTGAGCGGTGCTGCGCGCCAGGGCCGGGCTCTTTACCGGTGCCCGCCTTCCCCCAGATTGTGGAAGGACCGCTGGGTCCCGCGGGGGGCGGCGTGGGCCGGGGCTAGCCCGGTCTCGTCCCCGTCACACCTGGGACGGGAGCAGATCGCCGGAGGGCCGTGCCCATCACCGCGGGGATATCCGGGCCCCCAGCCCGGCGTTCCGGAGGTTCTGGAACCCACGCTCGCGCCCCGGGGTAAACCCTGTGCCCCGGGCGGCGCGGAGGAGACCCAGACCCGCCCTCTGCGGCAGCACTGCCGGGGGTTTCCTTCCCATTTGGCAGGTGCGGAAATCGAGGCGCACAGAGGGGAAGGGGCCCGCCTCACGTCTTGACCAGAATGGACGCAGGGACGAGGAGACTGGAGGGGGCACTGACCGTCCCGGGGCTATTCCGGGCAGCTTTGACCTCCGCGCCGCGGTCGGTCGCCTCACCTGAAAAACAGGGACGCTCCAGGCGCGGGCGGGCCCCATGTCCGAAGTAACAGTCCCGGGAGCCTTAAGCAGATGCCCCTCGAGCGCCCGGTTCTGAGGACTGTTTTGGGGAGGGCTTCGGGGAGGGTCCCCGGTGGGGCACCCGGATGCGCGGGCCCTCCGCGTCCCCTCCCGCCCCTGGCGGCGGCCGCGCTCCTCCCCCGGCTCTGCCTCCCGCCGCCCGCCCTCCTTCCCGCGCTCCCTCCCCCGCCCGCCGAGCCCGCGCCGAGCCGGAGCCCGAGCCCGAGCCAGAGCGCGGGCAGCACGGAGCGGGCGGCGGGAGGCAGCGGAGTCGGGCGGCCGGCGGCCCCCGCTAGGCCCAGGACCCGCGCACCGCCTGGCCGGGAGAAGCGGGACCGCGCGCGGGCCACGACCCGCCGCCCAGCCCTGGGGGCAGCCCGGGCGCGGACCGGCCGGCCCGGGTCCGAGGTGAGCCCGGGCGGAGGACGCGCCCACCGGAGGGGCGGCCTCCCGCGCTGCGGACTGAGCGCACCCGGGGCTGGGGTCCCAGAGGAGGCCGACGGCCGGCCGGGGAGGCGTCCCCAGGGAGCCAGCGCCGGGGCGGCGGGGCCGGCGCGATCCCAGAGGGCGCGGAGGACCCGGTCCGGAGGGAGCCGCGGCGCGGGGCCATGCGCGGGGCGCAGTAGCAGCAGGCGACGGCCGGATGGCAAGGGCCGAAGCGCGGGGGCTGCGCGGTGGCTGCCGTCCGCCCGGGCTCCGGCTGGCGCTCGCGCTCCGGCTGGCGCTGCTGCTGGCGCGGCCGCCGTCGGGCCGAGCGGGGGCCCCCGAGGCGCAGGGGCCCGCGGCGCCCGGCACCGCAGCCCCGGCCGGGGGCGACCGCTGCCGCGGCTACTACGACGTGATGGGCCAGTGGGACCCGCCCTTCAACTGCAGCTCGGGCGCCTACAGCTTCTGCTGCGGCACGTGCGGCTACCGCTTCTGCTGCCACGACGGGCCGCGGCGCCTCGACCAGAGCCGCTGCTCCAACTACGACACGCCGGCCTGGGTGCAGACTGGCCGGCCGCCCGCCCGCGCCCGCGACGCCGCCGCGCCCCGGGACCCGGGCCGCGAGCGCAGCCACACGGCCGTCTACGCGGTGTGTGGCGTCGCCGCGCTGCTGGTGCTGGCAGGCATCGGGGCGCGTCTGGGCCTGGAGAGGGCGCACAGCCCGCGCGCGCGGCGCACGGTGACCAGGTGAGCGCCCCGGCGGTCCCCGACCCTCGTTTGGACGCCCCGACGCCCTCTCTGCCGGGTGGCGCCCCTCCGTGCCCCTCCTTCCTTCCCGCCCCTCTTGAAGAGCTGGCCCTCTCAGCAGGCCCCTTCTCCTGGTCTTTCCTCCCTGTCTCCCCCTACCCCCCACTTGACAAGGGAGACACCGGATACCACCCCCGACTCCCCTTGACCTTCTGGTCTGAGCAGGGAGGGCTGGTAGCCTCGGGCGGAGGGCACGAGGCCAGGGGAGGGGGCCCCCCGCTGGCCAGGCAGGGGACAGGGCTGATGTAGTATTTGGTGTCTTGGGTGGAGAGCAGGGAAGGGGCACTTGGCTCTCTGGGCTCTCTCCCCTCCCCTCCCTGCCATCTCTCCGGGACCCCAGAGCTGTGACTCAGGCCTGACCTTCCTTCCCTGGGTTCCAGAGGGCCTCCCCTAACGCCCACTCCATAGCCCCAGGCGCACGCCAGGGTCTCCCTCCGCATAGGGAACAGAGTCCAGTGCTGCTGAGGCCAGGACAGGTGCTAGCTGCGTTCTGAGCCTGGTGTGAAATGGGGTCTATAGGACCCAGGTCCCCTTCCTCAGCTGGAATGGGACTCTAGGATTCTGTGTGTCCAGACCTGGAATTCACACCTATCTGCCACACTCATGCCCCAGCAATTCCGACGTCCTGGAGCCTGTGCCCTCCTCATCCTGCAGGTCCCAGAACCCTTGGGGCACGTGGGCTGCTGACACCACAGGTGACAGGCTTGTACTTAGAAGTAAGTGACAGTAGAGAGAAACCCCCGCAGCCTGGTGGCTAGATGTGGACGCTTCCCTCTCCTGGGCCCTAGGGGCAGGGATGAGGCCTTCCTTGGCACTGCGGCACCCCTCACCCGCCAGACCACTTAGCCTCCACCCTCAGCCACTGCACACCTCCATGCCCCCGAGCCTCTTGGCCTGGGTCCTGGATGCTGCAGGGGCAGGGGCTGGGCCTTCCGATTTTCGGGTCCCTCATGGTGGGTGAGGGTAGCAGGGGGGAGGCCTGGATATGGGAGAAGAGGGTGGGGCAGTGGGAACTGAGGGTCACTACAATGTAGGAGGTGGCTGGGGCAGGCCAGCTGACACACTGGTCTGCATGGGGGGGAAGCAGGTTGGGTGATGCCTCAGGAAGAGCTGAGCCCACCCTGGACGTACTGCGTGGCCTGGATGGGTCCCTGCCCCTTTCCGGGCTTCAGGCTCCCACGTGCCCCAACTCCCTTTTCTCCTCTGGGGAGACCAGGAACAGGGCTTGGGCTCATGCGTGGGTGTCTTCTGAACCCCTGCCCTCCCCCTAAGTCTCACATTTAATTCTGTCATGTTGGGGCTGATGGCCAGGGCAAGCTTCTCAGAGGGCTTGGAGGGAGCCACTGGAGAGTGTGCACAGCCAGAGGCAGGATGGTCACTGTGTTTGGGAGAGCTGGGCTGGTGGTGCTTGCCCAGAGATGGGACCACAGAGGTGAGCCGCTGAGGAGCGGGCAGGGCAGGAGCGTCAGCTCAGGCAGGTACCAGGACACTTTCAGACCCTGCCATGTGGCAGTCAAACCTCAGCCACCCCTGGTGTCCCACCTCCAGGACGCCTCTTCATGAATCAGCCATTTGAGGCCCCAGCCCCAGAAGGAGGGTCAGGCCGAGCAGGAGAAAATCATGCGTTCTGGATGCTGGAGGCAGATGGGCTTAATAGACATTGTCACATTATCACAGCTGGGTGGGGGCTGGGTGTCCTGGGTTTCCAGGGAGGCAGCTGCCCAAGGTCACACAGCCTTCGGGTGCTGGGCTGCCACCAGGGATCTCCTGCCCACCTCCCTCCGCCCCCACCCCAATCCGTCCTCCATGCTCGTGCTGGCAGCTATGTCCCTCACCCAGCGGAAGCCCCTGCTGCAGGAGGGGAGTTGGGTGGGCACTGGGAAAGCGAGGACGCCGTGGGATTTGAAGAACGATAGGAGTTTTATGGGAGGAGATGGAGGAAAGGGTGTCAGGGGCAGGGCTGTGTTGGGAGAGGAGGCTGCACCGGGGAGGCTCTTAAGAGTGGGCTGCAGGAAGGGGAGGAAAGGGGAGCCTTTGGAAGACAAGGTGGCCCTGGTTACATATTACCCCAGTACAGTTACCTGGCCTGCTCTGGGATGTGGCTCTTGGGGCCACAGGTGAGGCTGACAGGTCGTGCCTGGGAAGGAAGCTAGATGTGTGAGCTCTATGACGAGAGAAAGGAGGCCAGAGAGGTTGAAAGAACTGCCCAGGGCCACACGGCGAGACCATCATGGCTGTGGCTGGGGCCGGCCTTTGATAGGCTGAGGGAGCCACCCCTCACCACTCTGTCCCCACAGGACACTGACAGAACTTCTGAAGCAGCCAGGCCCCCAGGTACCCCTGCCTCCACCTCTGGGCCCACCCCTGGGTAGCTGCGTCCAGGTGCAGATGGGGGATGGCCTCCCCCAGGGCTCCCCCCACAACAGCACAGGTGAGCAGGGGGTGGTGGCATCGTTGACCCACAGCGGAGCATGGGCAGGGGCGGCTGTAAGCTGTTTCCCAAACGGAAATGAGCTGCTTCCTCTGTGGGTGTGTGAGGGTCGGCAGGCCAGTGAGCTTCCTCTGTCCCACGGGTCCTGCCAGCTTGAGTCTCAGGGGCTGTGATTTGTGAGGAGGTCCCAGGCGCGGGTTCCGCTGGCCAGGGCTGTGGTCCTGCCCTCTGGCTCAGCGCCCCGGGCTCTGGAGCCTCCCTCTCGGTCTCCGGAGGCAGCGCTGGGCAGCCCCCGCTTTCCCACCTGGGTCTGCTCCTCAGACGTCCCCCCATCTCGGCGGGAGCAGGTCGTGGGACTCAGCACCTGGCTCAAGCCGAGCCCGCTGGGGAGCCATTCACCAGCTCGCACCCTCAGGGCAGGCTGGCACGGATCGCGGCATTGGGAGCCAGGCCCTGCTCCAGGCGGGGAGGTTCTGCCCTGAGGACAGGCGCGGCTCGGCGCCTCCCAGAGAGCCAGCCCGAGGTCGCGCTGCGCTGCCCGGGAGGGGGCTGCGGAAGGTGCTGGCGCGGTGGAGTGCCCGGGTAAGCGGCCGGGCGGCCTACTGATCCCTCCTGCCCTACAGACAAGAAACGCCTCAACAACGCGCCCCTGGGGTCGGCCACCCCGGGACCCCCGCGCGCGCCCCGGCTGCAGGGCGGCGGCAGGACGCTGCAGCCCGACTACGCCAAGTACGCCACGGTCAAGGCCGCCGCGCTCAAGGCCGCAGGTGAGTGCGCTCGGGTGTCCGCGCTCCTCGACCGCGAGGCTTGGGGCGCCCAGAGCCTGACCCCGACCCCGTCCCCGTCCCCGCAGAGGCCGCCCCGAAGGACCTCTATCAGCGTTTCCCCGCCCCCGAGCCGGTCCCGCGGGCCCCGCGGCCGCCCGAGGACCTGCCCGCGCTGCTCGACGCCTGCCCCTGGGCCCCGCCCGGCTACGCGCCCCCTGCCGGTCCCGCCGCGTCGGGCCACTACGCGGCCTGGACCGCCGGTCGCCCGGCCCGCCCCGCCCTCCACGGCCACCCGGTGGCGCAGGCGTCCCCGGCGCCCCGGCGGCCCGGCCACGTGCCCCGGCGCCAGTTCAGCGTGGAGAAGCTGCCCCCCAGCCTTTACGGCAGCGCGGCCCGCGGGCCCCGGCACCTGAGCACCAACAGCAAAGCCGAGGTCACTGTGTGAAGAGGAGCCCTGTCCTTCAGAGGCACGGTCCAGGACCCCAGGTTATGGGAAGAGGGGGCCAGCTCTTCCTTCTGCACCAACTGGACGGGGGCCTTGGAGCCTGCAGGGCCCGGGTTCCTGGTGTAAATAAACCCTGTTCTGTGGTTCCCGCCCCTGAGAATAAAGGAGCCCCAGCTTGGCTGCGAGAGGCACTGATGGCGGCATTGGTCATTGACTGGACAGACGGCGGTGCAGGCAGAGGGCACAGCATGTGCAAGCGCAGAGGACTGCTCCGGGCAAACGTGCTGGGAGCCAGCGAGAGGTGGCTGGGGAGGTGGCCAGGGTTGCCTGCCCGGCTGAATGCCCACACTACTGGGTGCCAGGGGACAGCGGCAGTTACGCCTCGGCCATCTTCTGGTCCAGGCACAGGGAGAGGGCTGCTGGGCCTGGGGTCCATGTCCTCTGCTGGCGGCGACCCTCCAGCTGGTCGCCACTCTACAGCTTGAGTCGGCTGAACCTGATCCTCACTGACATAGTCTGGCTGTGGGCCGGCCCCTGGCCTGCAGGCTGCTTGGCCAGATTGGCCCAGGGCCACCCCCCTAATGGTTGCGGGCCGTGTGGACATCTGGTGCCCAGGATGCGGGAGCCTCCTCCCAGGAGCTGCTCTGAGGGAAAGGGGGTGGGGATGCTGGAGCAGGGGCTGGCAGTGGCCCTCTGGGTGCCCTACCACACACACCACACACGCTTGGCACTGCCAGTGTGCCCTTCCTGCAGGGAGGGCTCCTGGTACCTGGCTGTGGCCAGGGCATGGCCAGCAGCCTTTGTGCAACTTCCACAGAGTCCCTCTGTGCCAGGAACTGTTGGGGGAGCTTGGGGGGTGCTGGGCTATGGCCAGTCAAGGTGTGTGACCTCAACAAAGCCACCCAGTTAGGGTGAATACCCTAGGTATTCCCTCCCGAATACCCTAGGTGTGGTATAGTGTTTTAATAACAATGGCCACCTGTCGCCCTATCTTATTTAATCCTCACAAAAGCCCCATGGAAATGAGGAAATTCAAGTTTTGAGACCTAAGTAACTTGCCCAAGGTCACCCAGCTGTCTCACAAGTTAGGATCCTCTGATGTTACAAAAATTTGGATGAATGGCAGGCAGGGGCAGTCTGGGGTGGGGGGCTGCTCCCAGGGTGTGAAGTCTGGGACCTTCTTCCTGCTGGCTGGGCTGCCCTGAGGCCCGCCCCCACACCCACCAGGCCTGGGCAGCTCCTCATCTGTCGAGGGTCCACCTTCCTGTCCCTTAAGCCGTTAAGGAAACCAAGGCCTCCTAGTCCAGGACAGAGCCCGGAGCCCATGGTCCTGCCTGCAGTGAGGGCCCCCAAGGTTTGTGGGGAGAGAGCTCAGTCTCAGCTGCTGGGGGTGGCATGTGCCCCTGGCCCTATCCCACAGCTGCGTAGAGCCGTGGGAGGGGGTGGGTGCTGAGTCACGGAGCCTGCCGAGACTCACAAAAGGATCAGGGTTCCTGGGCACATCGGCCACCCACTGCCACCTACTGTGAGTGACGCAGGCCCTGGCTGGGCTGTGCTGGAGATGGGCAAAACCCCTCTGCTCATTTTCCATCCCCCTGGAGCCCGGCTAAGGCCATGGGCAGTGGCCAGCACTGAAAAGCTGATGGAACTGTGGACAGGACCAGCTGCAGTGGGGTCCCTCCAGGCTGCTCTGGTCCTTGGAACAGTGTGGCCTGCTGGTACCGAAAACTCAGCACTTGTCCTCAAGGCCACGTCAGAAGAATGAGAACAAGCAGTTCGAGGAGAAGGAAAGAGAAGTTTATTACTTTGCCGGCAAAGGAGGAAAAATGTTAGACCTTCCTGTCCCAAAATCCAAATTTCCTGAACGTTGGCAGAAATACAGAGCTTTTAAAGGGAGGGCCCCACAGTTCAAGCTGGCTAACTATTATTCTAATCTCCCATTTTAGCCAAAGACAAAGCCCCACCTGGGCCCATGGAGGGGGGAGCTGGTGTCTGCCTGGGTTGACTGAGTTTATCTCTTGTAACAAAGGACTTAACCTGCCTCAGGGATGCAGGCCAGCCTGCAGGTCCCAAAAAGAGTGGGGAAAGTTTCAAAGAGACAAAATATTTTTGCTGTTTTTATTTCCTCCCCAGGCCCTTCCGTTGCACTGTGACTGCCCTTCAGAGAAGGATGTGGCTCAGAGTGTAAGGGACTGTTCCTCAGCCGGCTGGGTAGGGCTGGGCCAGGGACTGTGTACATCAGTCCTGGGCTCATTCTCACGCACGTGGCACTCCAGACTCCACCTGTGACAAGGCCCAACGCTCCCATCCCAACCTTTTGGTCTCCCCTCCCCAACCCCCTACCCGTGTCTTAAGCCAAGCCTGGCCTCTCACCAGCCTCCCAAGGCACTGTAAACTGGCACTGTGTGCCATGTCACTTAAACCCAGCCAATGGGGACTGCAGGCCAAGGCAGGGATCAGCCTCCCCATTCTGCACAGGGGGGAGTGGAGGGGGAGAGGCCAGGTCCTGCCCAAGGTGACCAGGCTGGGAAATCCAGTTCCTGTACTTGGATCTGACTTGTAGGCCAGGGAGCCTCCTCAGGGGGTCACTGCCTTCTAGGAAGGGGAAACTAACGAGTGGCCCACCAGGCAGGGGAGAGATTTAGCTCCCTGAACTCAAAGAACTGTTGCTGTTGGCCAAGCCGCCAGCATCACGTCTTGGGAATAAGTTGGAACCTGGATACAGCAACCTTTGACCCCAGAAGCATCACCAACAGCCCTTTTATTATCCCAGTATCCCGGCCCTCACCCAGCTCCGGAGTGCGCGCCAGACACCGCAAGGAGCCGGGCGCACTGGTGGGCAAAGAAGGCCCGTTAGACTGAAGCCAGGGGGCTCTCAGCAGCGAGAGGGAGGGGTGGGCTGAGCCCCTGGCACATTTCAGGCCAAGTCACACAGCCATGTGGCTGGTCACCATGGCAGGCACACTACAGACCCTCACACACCTTGCACTGGGTGGTAGCAATCCATGTTTATTGAATAACCTATGTCCTGGGACATGGTGAATGATTCAACATCAAGGAAGCCATAGGTGTATCCCCCTTTTCAGTGAAAAACCACCCCTTCCCACCCTCAACAATAACAAGAAAAGGCACAGCATATACACAAGACACGTGGGCTGGGCAGGGTCCATAAATTACAGTGAGAACGGGGGGAGGGGCAGGAGAAAGGAAGCAGGTGGGGTCCAAGCGTATCACAGGGCAGGCCCAGGGCGAGGCTGACCCATCCCAGCATGCACTCTGCATGGGGGGCCTCTGCTGTGCGCACCCCCAGTCTGCACTGGGGCTCCTGCCCGCCCCCTGCTCCAACCAGCCTGAGGGGATGAGAAGCAGAAGGTCTCAGTCTCAGGAGGCCCGGGGAGAAACAGCCTCAGGCAGGCACCACGCCAGGGGATCCAAAAAAGTAGGACCACTTTTTCTCCTAGGACCCCCATCAAGACAGGGACCTCATTCCCAGTGCCCACTCCGAAAAGGACTTGTCGCTGGGGAGGGTTGAGGGCTGGTCTCTGCCACCCTGGCTTATTTTCAGGTCAAGGGTTCGGGATAAAAATATACAGATGCTCCTTGAATTACAATGTTACATCCTGATAAACCCATCATAAATGGAAAATATCATAAGTCTAAAATGCATTTAATACCCCGATAACCCATCATAAAGTCTTAAAACTGTAAGTTGAACCATGGTTAAGTCGGGGACAGTCTGTGTACCACAGAGGTAAGAGCTGGGGGAGAGGTAGGAGGGACCCAAGAAACCATGCGGAAGGCCCCGGGGCCCCAGTCCCAAGGGGTGGCTTCATCTCTCCCTGCCCCGGGCCTACCCTGAGCTGGGGCTGACTGCCTAGGTAGGGGAGTGGGAAGGAACAGGACAATTAAATAAGATACCATTTATTTTTTAAAAAATTAAAAAATAATGTCAACATTATTTCATGTGTCCGCAGGCCTGTCCCCTGCCTCCGACCCACCTCCCTGGGCTGGGCTCCCCTCCTCCCCTGGCCGTCCTGTGTAACTGAGAGGAACGACTGGCCTGGTGAGGCGCAGGGGAGGCACGCAGACCCGGGGCAGGAAGGAAGGAAGGTGCTGCGGCAGCGTAGCCCGCGGCTCGGCAAACCCAAGCACTGGTATAAAAACATTCGTATAAAAAGCGGGGAGGGCCAGCCGGGCAGTCCCGAGGGCAAATCGCTGTCTAGTGCCCAGAGCCCTGCGTCCCCAGAGAGAAAGCCTGATAAAAAATGAGGAAGCAAAAAGGCGAGAGATGTTCAGGGAGAGAGAAATTCAGGAGGGCTGGAGGCAGGGGCTGGACAGCTTTAGAGACCCCTGTGCTCTCCAGTCAGGGGCACCCCCAATTCCTGCCCTGCTGTCTCTGCTCTCAGGCCCACTAGACCCCAGACCACGGGCATCTAGTGATAGCAGCTCTACGGGGCTCTGCCCAGGGGCCCGCTGGCCTGAAGTGGTCCAAAAGCCTCGGCAGGTGACAGCTCAGAAGACAGGGCTTTGTCCCCACAGCTGTTGGGGGAGGATCCTGGGGGAGAGCGACAGACACAGGTGGAGGGCAGTGGGCTGAGCCTGGTGGTCAGGAGGCGGCAATGGCGGTGCCGCCACCCAGCTTGACAATCATCTGCTGGCAGTCGTTGCAGGAGCGCCGGTCGCCCACCTTCTCCAGGGTGCGGGCGGCCTCGGCCAGCAGCACAGCCCGCTGGCCCGGGGAGGAGAGGAAAGAGAGGGGAAGGTGGCGGCAGGCCAGCAGGATGGCGGTGGCCCGCTCTCGCTGGCCAGGCCAGGCATCCACCTCTCCTGTGGGAAGGATGAGATACGTATTGGAACCAAGAACCCATGATGAGGCCAGTGCTGTTCTGCAGGCGTGACCCAGACTCATTTATTTAACCCTCGCACCCAAGCTGGGAGGTGGGCTCTACGGCCCTCTCCAGTTCCCAGAGGAGGTGAACTTGGCTGCATCCCACGGCCAG